TCCTGCAAGGCAACGACAATAGCCCAATCAAGAATACCGGGAGAAATATCTCGCACCACATCTGTAGTGCCATTACAATCCTTCAATTCTCGATTTATAACCAGCGGTTCGTGTCGCGTAAGATCGAGTAGGAATGAAACAAGGGCATAAGCCTCAAGGAATCAAATCGCACGATGAGGAATCAAGAAGGGAAGTACTCCTAACAGCTCTGTAGCCTCCCGAAGATAAGTACAGACGTCTCCGTACCAATCCGCGAGACTCTACTAGACTTGCTCATGACTCATGAGACCTAAGGGAACCTAGTGCTCTGATACCATGTTATCACGACCCAAAATTCACTAAGGGTCGTGATGGCGCCGGACAACATTGTTAGGCAAGACAACTACCATTTACTAGCAATTTCTCATTTTTTTATTATTTTGAAATCATTTCCCTTAAGCAAATAAATAATAAATAATAAAATTCGCTGGATAAATGAGGATGTCTTTACAAATTTAACTACTGAAAAATCCCGTGGTCATCCGAGAACCAGGTGCCATAAGTGCATGAGCATTTACTAGGGAATAAAATAAAATACAGTAACTGTCCGGAATACAAGTGGACAGAAATGAAGATACATTACCATACTCTGAAGGGGACTCTGTTGGATGCAGGTCGTCTTGATAATTGCAGCTCACCTAAGTCTTCATATCAACCATGCTGCTATGCCACTAAGCCACTAGCCACATATGGACGTGTGTAAAAAAAATGCACAACAAGTGTAGTATGAGTACGAAAACAACGTGTACCCAATGAGTATCCCGTCTAATCTCGAAGAAGTAGAGACGAGAGGTCGACTTCGACACTTACTAGTGGTTCAATGATAATATAGTAAAATGTGAGAAGATCAGAGAATTTTATTAAAACAACAATTATAATTCATAAATCCAGATAGCAGGTAAATAACTTCCCAAATACTAATGGATTTTCAAAGATTTACTTTCCCAAATATCAATTTATCTCCGGCCAAGAAAGGCAAATGTCAACATTTATAAATCTCAAGCAACAATACAAACATGCGCATATCATGCCGAGATCGTTCGGCCCGATCCCACATAAATGTAAAATGTGCATTGCCGAGGGTCGAACGACCCGAACCATAGATGCATCTATTTAATCTACCGCGGCGTTCGGCCCGTTTCGAAATTAAACACATACAAACAGTCAATCAAGAAGTCAACATGGAACAATTATCCAAAGAAAAGCCAATTATCTTTTAACAATTTTATAAAATGAAGTTTAATCCTTTTAGAAATTCATTTATCAATTCGATAAGATTTAAACAATTCAACTGTCAATAAGATTATAATTATTCCAAGTATAGCATGCTTTTGGGTCCTAGACTACCCGGACTTAAACATAATAGTAGCTACGCACGGNACATGTTCACCTTTATTCCTTTCCAAGTCCCTAGCATATCCTAAGTGATCACCGTAGCAAGAAGATATGGAGATATTCACAAATAAGGCATGATGTGGGCCCTAGACTACCCGTGCAATTAACATCATAGTAGCTACGTACGGACTCTCGTCGCCTAGTGCGTACGTAGCCCCCGCGCATATAATGGCAATTAATTCAATTAACCTATGGGGACAATTCCCTCTTACAAAGTTAGAAAGGAGACTCACCTCGCTCCGAAGATCCATAACCGGCATTCCACGCTCTTCCGAGGACTCGAATCGATGCACAATGCTCCAAAACTAGCCAATAATTATGCAAATCCATTAATATATGTTCAATTACTCATTATAATCCAATTTATAACAATTCCTAACCCCGAGCGAAAAGTTGACAAAATTGCCCTCGGGCCCACGTGCCCGGATTCCGAAATTTTTCGAAGATAAAGCTTACCCATGAACTCACGAACTCAAATATATGATTTTCTCTTAATTTCATACCAAAAATTGTTGTCAAAATCCAAGAATACGAATTTTCTAGGTCTTCCTCAAAATCCCAAAATTTCTACAAATTTCCTTGTCTAAATCCATATATAAACCTTTTATTTACTTAAAACTAGTAGAAATCACTTACCTCTTGCTTGATGATGAAAATGGCACTCCAAAGTTGCTCCAAAATTGGCTCCTATGAAAGATTTGAGATAAAAATGAGTCAAACCCCGTTTTAAAACACTTCACTACCGAGGCGACCCTTCTTAGGGCCAATGCTCCGCGATCGCATAAGCCAAACCCAGGGCCTCCAAATTCTTGCACAATGGGATCACATACATACCCCTGCGATCGCATAAGCCAAAGCCAACAACCTCCAATTTCTTCCTTTACGCGATCGCATAAACAACCTTGCGATCGCATAAGCCAATACCAGCTGCCTCCAACTCTTGCTCTATGCGATCGCATACCCTCTCATGCGATCACATTGAGTAAAAACCTGCTGTGCTCGTACCAGAAAACCAACAATCCTCACAAGGCAAGAATCTACCCGTTGAGCATCCAAAAAACGCCCGAAGCCCTCGGGACCTCAATCAAACCTACCAACCAGTCCTAGTACCTCATTCGAACTTAGTCGAGCCTTGAAATAACCTCAAATAACATCAAAATCACGAATCACAACTCGATTCAAGTTTAATGAACTTAGAACTTCAAACTTTAACTTTCGGTGTTTAAACCTATCAAATCACGTCGGATTGACCTTAAATTTTGCACAGAAGTCATATTCTTCATTGCGGACCTACTCCAACTTCCAGAATCGAAATTCGATCCCGATATCAAAAAGTCAAATCTCGGTCAAACTTCCCAAAAACCTTTAAATTTCTATCTTTAGCCAAATTACTCCAGAATGACTTACGGGCCTCCGAATTCAATTTCGATCGCGCTCCCAATACTAGAATCACCATACGGGGCTATTCCCTGACTCGGAATCCCAAACGGACATCGATAACACTAAAATGCACTTCAACCCAAACTTATGAAATTTCTTCCAAAATTCTAACATCCACAATAGGCGCTAAAACGCCCCCGGGTTCTCCAAAACTCGATCCGGGCATACGCCCAAGTCTGAAATCACCATACAAACCTACTGGAACCTTCAGATCCCGATTCCGATGTCATTTACTCTGAAATTCAATCTTAGTCAATTCTTTCAACTTAAAGCTTCCGAAATGAGAATTCACTTTCCAAATCAACTCTGAATTCCCCGGAATTCAATTACGACCTTGCGTACAAGTCATAATACCTGAAGTGAAGCTGTTCATGGCGTCAAACCGTTGAACGACGTGCTAGAACTCAAAACGATCGGTCGGGTCGTTACAATCAAATTGGTGTGGTGGGATCGTTTCCTATTTTTCTTTTCAATTATGCCCTAGTTTATTACATTAAAATTATATTTTACCCTTTACCTTTTTTTTGAACTCCAAATCTCCAACCTTTGACTTACTTTGTCTTCATCCCTTTTTTCTTTTGCCGCTTACTATTCCCAACTCCAACGCAAAGGTAGTACGAATAGGTTTTGCCTTTCTTTTTGTTTCGTTTTTCTCCTACTTTGATTTTAACTCCAATTCTAATTGCTTTAATCTCCCATTAGCTATATAATATTAGTTGTTTTCAAGTGTACATATTATTACTTATTTATCTTCGTTCCTTTGTTCGGCCAACTGCACGGTCTTCGTTCGTTTCTCTATCATCTTTTTTTTCTAATGATAGGTAAACTTTGATTTTAGTAGAAAGGGATTTTCTTAAATTATTTTTATCCGTAATTCTTAATAAATTTAATATTTAAAATAATTGAGGGTATTTTAGTAAACTTATCAGTTACAATACAGTTCGACACAGTCAAACTAAAAGCAAAATGTTATTTAACATCATCAAATAATACAATCTATCCGAACGTTGTTTTAATAAATTAAAACAATACGATACCATACGATACAATATAATACATTATGAAACGATGAATAACAATGATCCAAACAGAGTGTTAGTTCCAAATTATGTGGCAAAATAGGATTTAAGAAAGACATATTTTTTCTAAATCTGCAATCATAAATATTTCATAATACTTTTAAAATTTATGGTATTAATTATTGTTTAATATTTATGTGATCATAAAAACTTATTATTCCGAGGAAAATAAGAAATTTAAATTAGTGTTTTCAAATTTTGAAGATATTCTCTTTTAACGGACTAAAAAGAAAATGATGCTATATAAATCGAAATGGAATAAAGTATTATTTTTGACACTTTTTCCTCACTTTCAGTTTTTAGATGTTTAAATTAAAAAACTAACTATACTTTAAAATTATCCATTCTTTTATAAAAAATTGTGATGATATATATAATAATTAAACATACATTAATTGATAATTAAATACGATATTAACACTCAAGACGTGGAAAGATGATTTGAAATCTCAGCAAATAGAAAATTTTAAGTAATTTCTTCTGATCTCTTATCGATTATTCATTGGCAAGAGCTATCTTTTGCAATCTTTCTGGTGTAGAGTATATTTTTGGTGCAAAAAGAAGAAAGAAAACCATTTTCCTGAACAGGTAGACTCTTGAGACTAAGTAGGCGTTTGGACATAAAGTTTTGAAAAAAAATATTATTTGTAGTTAAGTTGAAAAATGGTATTTAGAATTTGAAATTATGTTTGGACATGCATTTCATTTGAAAAAATATTACAGTTTTGTGAGTGGGAAAAATTATTTTTCTGAAAAATTTGAAAAAGTAGTCAAAACTGCTTTTTAGATTTTTGTAAAACTCATTTTCGAAAAATTTACAAAATTTCATGGACTAACACATTTTGGAGGGAAAATTTTGAAAAAAAAGAAAAAAGATTTATGGAACGGGACCTAGTTATTTCAGGAAACTCAATATCAAATTCACGAAAAGTAACGTATTAAAATCAGACTTGAGAAAGTTAAAAAAAAATAAAATATTACCCAATGACTAAACAAAACAACTCATGCTTTATATGAATAAATTAACTTATGAACGCGATACTAAAGAACATCTTTATACTTGAGAAGCTTAGTATTAACCAATTAAATTTACCATTACATTTTGATTGAATAGAACAATACTATTGGAAAGAATAACCGAGACACCAACAATTACGTGATTTAACCAATTATGCCTATGTTTACAAGTAAGAAAAAAATAATTCCCAATATAAACGACGACAATCGTTAATCGTAACTCACACAGCCACTTCATGAGTAGGAAAGAAATTTCTTGAGGTAATTATTATAAGAGCAGGGCCGCTCCAACTGAACAAGATGTCCTGCCTTTTTTATGTAATCGATTGTCGCATTTTCTCCCAACTTCCTGCACTCATTATTGTACCCAAAATTAGATATTCGATAGATTTGATCAATAAAAGCATTAATTTTGAATTCCAAAATTGCTCTGCAGCTAGGAACTTACTGTTTCATGTTATCAGACACTGCCACATTAAAAATCTTGTCGTCGTCTCCACATAAAAGGTAAATCCTCTGTGTGAAAGATTAAACAAAGATATTAGTAAAGTACTATCCAAGTGTAGACATGTAATTTTTAACTCACGCATTAGAATCACCTCTACTAGTCCTAGTATTTTTAGGATATTTATTTGAGTTTATTTCTATAGGATTTTACTTTATTACTAATTTTAATTCTATTTTTAAGGTACAAAAAATTGAAAAAATACAAAAATAGTTTCATGTTCTATCTTATTCTATTTAGTTTAGGTTATTAATATTTTTATAGCAATATATTTTTGTTTTTACCATGATTCTCACTTTTATTTTGAATATAATAATTTATATAAAAATAATATATATATATATATATATATATAGTTTACTTTAATTAATTAGAATTAATTTTAAATCATTTTTATAAAGAAAAGGTTTAAGTTTTTTGAATTGATGGATTTAAAGGGTTATAGTCCCAAATTTTTGGCCCAATTTCGGGCAAGAAGAGGCCCAAATTTGGGCAGCCCAATCTCATAACCCCTTAACCCACGCCCCAAACCCAAAACCTGCTGACCTGCCGACCCGCCCCAATTCCTATTTTAAATCCTAGTCATCTATGTTATTTGATCCATTGGCTCACATCTTTTTCCCTAACCAAATATAAACCTAATATTCGCTAACCCTAAACCTAATACTCCACCCAAACGGCGCCCCAACCCTTCAACGCGTCTGCCGCCACGCGACCACCCTAACCCGCCGGAAAATCCCTCCAATCAATACATGGTCCCCTCCCCTCGCTGGTCCCCTCCTTCCCCGTCACCTCTATCACGCGTTTTCTTCCTCATCTCATTTTCGATTTTATCGTTTTAGGTGAGAACGAAAAAATGGGAGGCGTAGGATCGAGTTACACTCGATCTACCCCCTCCATCTGTCCTTTATTGCCATTAAAAGGGATAAAATTCGAGTTTTCTTGGTTTTTATTCTTTTTCGGATTTTGGTTGAAGATATTTCGGATTTGTTTTGTGGTCCCACGTGATTTCTTGGTGAAGAAGGATAGAAGCTTCGAGAGAGAGAGCTATATATTTGAGGTTTTTGGACAGAATTTTGGGAGAGAGAAATTAGAGGAAAATTTGGAAAAATTTCGGACTAGGAGACAAAGACTTAGAGAAAAAGCACTTGAAGAAATTAGGGTTTTCAGGGATTTTTGTTCCTTTTTCTTGGTTTGCTTCTACTTCTTTTACTTTGATTCTCAAAAGTCAGAAAAGAAAAAATCAAAAAAAAATATACATAATATTTTTGTTACTTCTTTCCGTTTCGATTTTCGATTTCAATACGAAGTTTGATTGAGGTTTGCCGTGGAGTCGAGGTCGTTCGAGCTGTTCAGTGCTTACAAATCGAGGTTCATTTGCGGTTCTGTTCCTGCCGCGCAAATTCAGTCCAGTTTTGTTTGAATTTGATTGTTGTTTTGCTTCAATTCTCGTTGTCGAACTTTAGTTGTATTTGGCATTCAAGCAGGTTGATTAAAGTTCTTGTTGTTTCAGCTTGCTAGTTACATGTTTCAACGTTACTTGGAGGAATGTCACGTAAAGCTAGTAGGCTGTTAAATTATCATGCCTTAAATCCATCTCTTATTATTCTGTGTACTAGCATTTTTCTTTATTTGTTGATTCCATGTTGGTTGTTTAAGTTTGTTTATCCACTCGATGTGAATGTGTTTAAAAGATGAAATTGGGGCCGCGGGATTTGGCCTTTAAACAGGAATAGACGAGTTTAAACGGTAAAAACTTACCCGCACCGGGTGTTTACACCAAACCAATAAATATATGACATGTGTCTTGCATATTGACTTCAATTATTTAACCATAGTAAATTATATGCATTCTCATCTAATTAAATTAATTAACCATAGTGAATTAATATAGTTTGGTGTAAACACCCGGTGTGGATAAGTATTTACCAGTTTAAACATTGCTATACTTGTTCTGGTTCTGTTTTTATTTTTACTTTTCTCTTTTCACCGCTAGTAGCATGTTTAGGCCGACAACACTCGGGTAGGCAATCCTTAGAATTGTTTGTTAGCTTTTGAGGTGAGAGGCTGTCCCCTTAGTTAAATTTATCCGGGGAATGCCCTGAACAACTTGTATATATTTTATTCCGGGGAATGCACCGTAGTACTTTTATTTGGAGCCTTTTTTGTGTGTTTATTTTCTGTGTTTGTTTTACCTCAATTCGAATATTCTAAAAAGGCGACTAGATCAAGCATGCAACCATACTAGTTACGAGACTTGGGGAGTACCTAACACCTTCTCCCCGAGTCAAATGAACCCCCTTATCCAAATCTCTGGTGCATACTTAGTTTTGGACTCTCAAATATTCTGAAAAGAAAAAAAAATATTTTAAAAAAAAAATCATGACCTGACACATCGAAATCAAATGTCAGGAGGCAACTCTGAGTTAATCCTTTTGAACATCAATTTTGTCACTTTTTAAATTGAAAAATGCTTTTTGAGCTTTACAAATTCTTTTATTAATTTAAGAGAGTTAGTGAAGTTTGTAAAAAAAGGGTGTGACACCAAGTTTTGGAAATTTTAAACTCATGAATACTATTATCATCGAGAAATCATAGAGGAATATGACATTTACTTCAATATCTAGTTTACTTTTTATTTTTCCTTTTCTTTTGGGGCATGTTTTTGTCGTTTTTTTTTCTTCCCTTAAAATGTCCTTCAATTTCTTTACCGAGTAATTGGCTAAGAATTGATATTTTATTTATTCGATATTAGGGGTGGGCATAGTTTGGGCAAATCCGAAATCCAAACCAAAATTTGAATTTTTAGATTTTTTGTTTGGATTTAATTTCTTTAAATTTTTAGATTCCGGATTGGATATTGGATTTGGTACTTTGGATTTTGGATATCCGAAAATTCGAAATTTTTATACTTTATATTTAGTCAATTATCCATATGTCAATAATAATAATTTCAATACCCTACCCATTAGATATTATCTCATATATTCAATATTAATTACTACGTTACTCTCAGCATAATTTCTACTTGGACATAATTTTACTATACTTCTTATCGAACATATTAATGTCTCTTGTTGCATTTTCTTGATAATAATTTTGTTGTTTGAATACTTTATTTGAATAATTGCGGTGAGAATGATAAACTATTCATGCTATTTAATATGACTACTTCATTTGGATATTCATATTTTATAAAAAGAAGAAATATCTCAAGTTCTCAACTTATAAGCTCAAACCCAAAAGTCCAAAATGTTCAAATCGGTTAATCCGAAATCAAACTTAAAAAATCTAATCCAATTCGAGCCTATTTGGATTGGATTTGAATTGTCATTTCTTTAATCCTAAAATCTAAAATCGAAAACGAAATTTTTATATCTAATCCGAACTGCTCGGACGCCCACCCCTATTCGGTAGGAGATTGACTTATGAATTTTGGGTAATTTACCTACATTCAAGATGTTTTGTTCAGTAATGTGCTCTAAGAATCCAAAATTGGAGAGAGAAAATGAATAATGGAATGATTTGAGGTCAATAAAAAAAAAATGAAAACCACGAAAGATCAATATTCAAATATTAAATAGACAAAACAATTAAAGAACTTAGGTGATTTCTTATCAATCTGGTCATTGTGTGCGTAACAATAACAAGAGGAAATACCTGGGAGTAGTTAGGGATAATAGTAGCGTCTTTGTCACTGACTACTAAAGCGTCAAGAAGTTCGGCTTTCTCCTTTCTGTTGGCAAACATAACCTGCTTTTATAGCATTTTGTTATTAAAATCATGGTATAAAAATGCAAAATTCAGTTTATAAATACTGATAATGTAATGAATTTGTACACAAGTACAATATGCTTTAACTGATTTATAGCTAGCAGAATATTAATAACTTTGAATTTTATCAATTACCAAATTAAGTTCATTACTAATATATCACCTGTTGTGGTATGTCACCATAATGTCATCGCGTAAAAGATATTTATATACACATTCCCAGGGGCAGGGGCGGATTTAGGGGTCGGAGGGGTGTTCACCCGAACAACTTTTGCCGAAAAATTATATTGTGTATATAAGGCAAAATTCGGTTTATGCCTCTATATATATTGTATTTTGAATCCCCTTAAAAAACATCCAAAAGCATAGTTCAATGGTCAAGGGGGTTCAAAATCTTTGTTATGTTGCTCGTTCAATTCCCATTGGCCACAATTTCTTCTAGTTTTTTTCAACTTTTTTATTTCTTGAACCCCTTAGCAAAAATCGTGCCTCCGCCACTGCCCCGGAGAAATGTCAAAAGATATATAGTACTTAACGTATATGATAACACTATATCGACACTAAAAAATTTACCCACACCAAATGTTTACACCAACTCATATCCAACATTTTTTTCCGTCTTTCTTTAGTTATCTATTCCTTATTCAAATAGTCTTTCTTACATGCTGATGAGATGCAATAATTATTCCATACTGTTACTTTTATATTTTGGTTGGTTCATCAATATCTATATATAAAGCTAGGAATAGAAAATATGATGTGACACATCTTATTGCTCAAGGAAGTGGTTTATCTTTTTTCTCCTTTTTTTGCTTTTTTAAAATCTAAATTCTCTTATCCAGGTAGACATATTATATTTTACCTATTATCATTGAAAGGAATATGAAACTGATGCCTTTGTTAATCTCATTTATTACATCGCATCATTATCTCTCAATGAATAGCATACATCACTTACAAAAAACTTTTCACCTATTGGTTTTCCTCAATTAAATAAATTTCCATGGCTTCATCTGTCTCTACATAATAATCCAATAATGGTTGCTACCTTTGCAAGGTGTAACCTTTCAATTTCATATTTATGGAGAAAAAAGAACTACTACAATCTCCTGTAGTGAGCAGAGACTTATCTACAAATATAGGCTCCCTTCCTGTCATAAAACATAACTTCCAGGCAATGGTTCTTTCGGCCAGGTTTGTATTCTTTTATCCTCAGTTCCTGACTAACTTTACAGGTTTTTTCAAAATTTCCGGCATTACATTATTTATGACATATTCTCAGATTTTTGTTTTACTGCATGTCGTAGTATTTTGGGATGCTATAATTTTAGAAAATTTAGAGAATTTTGTCACTATCCTCTATTTAATGTATACAATGTATCTCTTTTTACTTGTGTTTTGCCTTTATATTTTGCTTGACTGTCTCTCGTTTTATTTTTTCCTTTTCGGATTTTGTTCATTTATTTACTTATATGACGAAATTAGTTTATTGGGCTTGCAAGACTGTTCTTGAATATGCATATATGCCTTTTTTTTTAGTGTAGTAAAATTATTGATAAGAACAAAGTTCCCTCTTGTAATCATTTTATTTTATTTGTATTCCTTCTATAATCTTTAGTTTGGAATCAAGTGGGTTCTAAACTACATAGAAATTAAAGTTTGATGAATCAGTTTATGTAGTCAATATGTATGTTCGTTATTTAGCCTAAAAATGTCTATTTGCTGAAAGAAATACTATTCAACTTCTTTATGGACTAACTTTTTTCTTATGAAGCAGAAGATGAATGGAGTCAACACAACGTTAAGAGGCTTATTGTACATCTCTTTGGGTTAACCGAAGAATTTCTTCTATTGTGCTGCAAAAGAATGTGGTAGTACAAGAAATTTAAAAGTTTTTTATTACTCTAGGTTCTAATTTGGAGAAATATATTTTTGTAAAGATTGGAGAAACACATAAACATTACACTTATGCAAGATGATGTGTCACTTCTTTTAGGCCAAGGATATTGGATTTATCTTTTTTCTCCTTTTTTGCCTTTTTCTCTACTTTTTTTATCTTATTGTAAGAATAAATGTTATGGTTCGTTCCCCCTCCCTTATTTATGGTCTTTACACAAAGTAATTAATTCCGTATAAATTCATTGCATATAAATTACTATATTAATTATTATTAGTTATTGTATATACTAATGGAGAATTGAAAAGCCACCATCAATCTTCAAGTTCATTTTGTTTTCTCTTCTACATCGCTCTTCATGTTCTTTCAAGTTGTTGCACACAATCTAAAAATGCTACCCAAGCCTCTGCAGTCTGAAGATATTGGGTTGGCTGATTAAGTCCTTGCATTATCTCTAATTCGGATGATAAATTTGTCATTTCTCAATATGAGTTTGTCTTCTTTTATTACATGTGAAATATGCTTTTTTTGTCCTTCGTATTATTTTTTATTGTTTTGATTCTCTGTTTACCAACAAATTCGGACAATTTTAATAGCGTCATAGTTAATGTGTCCCTAAAACTTTTGCTTTTTCATATAGCAACCGTATTTGATCAATTTTTACACAGACTTTAAATTGGTTTCGTAGTAGCATTAATACTTGCATTACTTTTAAGTTGTGTTACTGATATATTTATTGTTTCCTATGTATTTGCCTAAAATTCTACGCCATGATTCGGTTTATGTGAGAACATTACTATTTAGGAAGTCTACAAGGTTGATCTTTTGACCATATTCTTCTTAGATATTTTATAAATATTTGAATTATAAATTATTATGACTTATAATATTTTTTTAATGTAATTTTTAAATATGTAAATTTTACTTTCAAAAACTTGAATAATTTGTATCTAATTTCACGATCAATATTAAGAAATTTTGCTAAGCAACAACAGGAAAGAGGAGAAAAAATAGAGTTTAGAGGAGAAAAATGACATAGAGAGAAAAAGGTAGGAAAATAATAATAATAGAGGATAGAGAAGTAATGCACCTGACTTTTATGGAATATGAGATTATTTATAGAATTAAAACTTGAGAGGAAGATTAAGGATAAAAAAAGAAGTGAAGAAAAAGAACCTGAAAGAAAGTATTTGAAAAATAATAAAGGATGGGAGAAAATTACATAATGAAAATGCAACTCAATGGATGAACATCACAACTTGGATTGGCACTTATTTAATTAATTTATTTATTGTTTCTTTTCTTTACATTTTTTTTAGTTTTTCTTTGATTTGAGAAGAGAAATTTAGGAAAGCTGAAGTCTCACTATTTGATGAAATTAAAAGAAATCAAATACTCTTATATTTATGTATCCAAAATACAATTTAAATAAGAAAATAGTGTATTAAAAACCAAGTAACACCCATTATATAGTTTTCTATTCAAAATAGTTACTATAATAAAGGTTGCAATCATTTATGCTCTAATTCTAAGGAAAATAATTATATTTGTTATCTCTTGAAAATAACTAAATTTCATATCTCTATATACAAAAAACTTAATATATTATATTTCGATTAAAGTCATAATTAGATTTAGTGATTCTTTCGTGAAGCGCGTTCAATTTCACTAGTGTATCTCTAACGATGAATCAAAAAATACCAAAAGATATATAGTACCTGATTTAAGAGATGTCCTTAGAAGTTTATACACCAAATAAAGTTATTTGTCCACTTTTGACATTTTTTTGCGACATCAACTTTGACTTGACTCTTAAATCTCTTGGACTGCTTTTACCACTTCCCCTCGGCTCAACAGTTATATGCATGTCATTGATCATCAGATAGATTCATGTATCTTAGCATACTTTTTACAATAATGTAGCTCATTTTTTCATATGAATATTATTAAGTAATTAAAAATGTGTTATTTATCAACTTAATCTTTTAAAAATGTGTCATTAAGTAATTAAGAATGTGTTATTTTGGTTAAATCTTCATCTTTTAAAGGAGCAGGTCACATTATTCCACATGATATCAGCACCGACAAAGATTTTAAATTTAAATCTCAATTAATGAGATGGTCACACAATTCAATATAATTAACATATGGAATACGAATGGTAAGTTAAAGAGGAAGGTACCTCAAGAAAATCCCTGTAGAAAAATTCAGGCAACCATGGCAACTTATGAGAACCAATAGATAGAAGCACTTTAACTCCAGAGACAGTTTTGGGCAAAAGAAAATCAGGCCAATTTGTGAACCCAATATTCTTCAACGAAACATTGCTAATAGACTCAGTCAACTCAATAACCGTACTTGACATAACCATAGACTCAACCATGTGAGGATACAATTGAGCCAACTTGAACCCAACCATTCCTCCATAACTAAGTCCAACTAGAGAGAACTTTTCCACTCCAAGCTTCATCATTCCCTTTGCTAAACAATCTGCCTGATTTCACGTGTTTGTTCCATGAAAAAAGAAAATAAAAAAACGACAACGATTTAACTTTTAGATAAAATGGTCACGCGATTTAATACCTGAAAACTCGTTGACCGTTCGGGACGATCAGTGAAGGAATCTCCGAAGAAAAGTAAGTCAGGGACGTAGATGTTAAAATCAGCACCTGAAGTTCTTAAGGAAAGCACTTGAAAAAGCCAAGTCAAAATTCCATTGGAAACAAATCCATGAACAAATACAACTGCAGGCTTAGGTTTATAATTTGGTAATTTATTGTTTGGGTTATGGTAATGAATGGTTTCAGTTGGAACCCAAAAATGAATAGTAGTTCCTGGTTCTATTTCCACCATTTGGGATGTCATTCCAATAGCTTTCAATACACCATGAATTATTGGTTTCATTATAGCAAATACATTTCCCATTTTCTCTCAAACTCTTGATATCTCCCTTTTCTCTAGAGGAGTTATTACTAAGATGATATATAGCTGTGAGTTTTATGGCCAATTACTCGTATACACGACAAGATATATATATATATATATATATATATATATATATAAGCTGGAAAAATGTCGTTCGGCATGTACAAGTAAGACCACAATACTGAGTATAAGCAACTCTCAAAGACCCGGTAGTCACAAGTCACAAGCTCTAAGGAAATGTT